GTGGATTTTGGAGGCTCTGGAGTGTCAGTTATTTTTACAGAGCCTCGGATGACAGTAAAGAACCTTCTGGAAGGACAAAGCCTAGGCAGGGTGATGGAAAAGAGGAGGAGCAGAGCAAACCACCCTTACAAGGACAAGAAGAGCCGAAGGGACCAACAAAGGTCAGTCAAGTGGGCTGACTGGAGCCTGCGGGAGCTAGGGTGTCAGCGGGGGAAGGGTCAGGTGCTGCCAGCCTGAGAAGGGGCAGGATCAGCACAGCTGAGGAAGACACTCTGCAGTGTTCCACACTGCTGGATAAGCCTGTGACCTTTGTGTCGTAGACTATTATTTTAAGGTGTGTTACTTTTGTTTATGCTGCATTTGTTTAACTCTGTGAAGCTGTGTTACTGTGCCTGTCTAAAAACACCTGATGGTCTAATAAAGAGCTGAATGGATGGGGTTGGGGATTTAGCTCAGTGGTAGAGTGCTTGCCTGGCAAGTACAAGGCCCTGGGTTCAGTCCTCAGCTCTGAAAACAAAAAAACAAAACAAAACAAAAAACCCCAAGAACTGAATGGCCAATAGCAAGGCAGGAGAATGGGGCTGGCAGGCAGAGAGAATATGTAGAAGGAGAAATCTGGAAGGAAAGAGAGAAAAAAGTAGCCAGAGAAAGATGAGGACTTCAGGGGCCAGTCACCCAGGAAGCCACAGAGGAAGAGTAAGATTTACAGAAGTAGAACAGGAAAAGCCCAGAGGCAAAAGACAGCCGGGTTAATTTAAAGTTAAGGAAAGCTGGCTAGAAACAAGCCAAGCTAAGTCTGAGCATTCGTAATTAAGAATAAGCCTCCTCCATGTGTGATTTATTTGGGAGCTGGGTGGCGGGTCCCTCAAAAGAGTAAAGAACTACTACCACCACCTTTGAACTCCTCTTTACACCAGCAGGCAGTGGGTTTACTATGGACACTCTGAGCCCTTGGCTGGAAGTCACTGGATGATAGGTGTCTCATACAGGCCTTGGGTGGCAATTGGGCTTGTGTGTGCGTACATTCGTGCACCTGAGAAGCCAGTGGTCAATGCTGTTCTCCAGGAGCTGCCCACCTTCTTTTCTTTTTCTTTCTTTCTCTCTCTCTTTCTTTCCTTTCTTTTTTTTTTTTTGTTTTGTGTAACAGCCCTGGCTGTCCTGGAACTCGCTTTGTAGACCAGGCTGGCCTCGAACTCAGAGATCTGCCTAAAGGCATACGCCATCATGCCTGCCTTTTTTAAAAAAAATATTTATTTTTATTTCATTTGAATTGGTGTTTTGCCTGCCTGTATGTCTGTATGAGGACATCCGATCCCAGGAGCTGGAGTTACAGACAGTTATGAGCTGCCATGTGGGTGCTGGGAATTGAACCTGGGTCCCTTGAAGAGCTAGTGCTCCTAACCACTGAGCCATCTCTCCAGCCCCTTGTTTTCTTTTTTTACGTGTGTGTGTGTGTGTGTGTGTGTGTGTGTGTGTGTGTGTGTGTGTGTGGTGTCACTGCACACAGGTCAGAGGACAACTGACAATTTGTAGGAATTGGTTAGGTCTCTCCTTCCACCATGAGGCTTGAACTCAAGTGCCTTTATCAGCTGAGCCATGTCCCTCTGGCTTCACCATCTCCTTGAGGCAGGCCCTGTCACTGGACTTTGCAGACTTCTAGGCTGGCTGGTCAGCAAGCCCTGAGTTCCTGCCTCTGCATGTCTGTGCTTGATTACAGGCTCGCCACCATGCCCAGCCTCTTCCCTTAGGTTCTGGGTCAAACCCGCCTCATGTTTTTCTAGAAAGCACTTCACTGACTTGGATGCCTCCCCAGCCCAGGGCCAGGGTACTAAGCTGTTTTCTTATTTTCTCCAAGTTAGTGTCCTGCCTTGCGAGGCTGTCACAAGGGTGGAGACCCAGGCCATGCAGGGTCTTTAGAACAGAGTGGGTCATTGTTGGTCCTGGCAAAAGGAGGGAGCTAGCGGTGCCTGAGTCCTGGAAATGAAGCTGAAAGGGAATGAGCTGCTGATGTCTGAAGTCTTACTTCTTGGATGGCAGAGTTCAGCAATTTAAGGAGGACCCATTGCCACTCGCTACCTCAGCCCCAGGAGGATAATTCAGCGTAGGCCACACTGCCATGGTGGAGCTTGGCTTCTGTACTCTGCTAAGCACGGATCACCTTTACAAATTTGACCTTTTTTATGTTTCATTTTGGTGCTGGCTGGGCAAGTGATCTACCACTGAATCGTCCCCACGTGCAAGAAAAAGGCTTAGTGGAAAGCTGCTTCCTTGAGGGAGACAGCCCCTCCCCAGCAGCGTCAGTTATCCTCTGCCGCTCCCTGGGCTGGCCTGGAAGGCATTTCTACCTCATTATCCAAATGCTACAGGAAGGGCTTGGAGCTGACTGGATTCAGCAACCTCAATGCTCTGGGGCCAAAGCAGTGATGGTGTTCAGTAGCCATAAAAAAACAAAACAAAAAACCCCAAGAGCCAGGCATGGTGGCACATATCTGTAAAGTCAGCATTCGGGAGCAAGTGGCTTTGAGAATTCAAAGCCAGCCCCAATCCTGAGGGACCGCCAGCCTGTTTAAAGACCCAGCACCCATCCATCATGGCTGGAGTGCCAGCGGTTGAGGGTCTTTTTTGTGAACCCTAATAAGTGAAATTTTATCACAGCATTGCTGACCCCAAATTAACAGGATGGGCAGTTCTGGAGGGAGCTTTTAGCTTCCATACATCAAGGTTAGTGCAATATTTGGCAGGCCAGGATCCTCTGGGGACTAACTACTATCTTATTAGGTTATAAATACATTTAATAGCTTTGGTACTGGCTTCTTATTTTGGAGTATTAAGGAAGAAAAAAAATAGAACTCATAATCACTTGAGCCTAAGTGAAAAGTGACTATTTTAAAACTGTACATTTACCTACAGTATTGCTTCTGAACGTACACGACAACCTCACCTCTGCTATGTGCTAGGCTCAGATGGCCCATCATCTGCTTGGAAGAAATTAATGGTGGTTCAAGAGTTGAAACTCAAATTCTTCCATTTTGACTCAAACTAGACCTACTAGTTCAAAGAAAGCCCAGAGGCTTCTCCCACCCCAGCACTGACCTCTGTGGTTTCTCAGGAAAGGGGTCAGCATGCCCATTTTCTTTCTTTTCTTTTTCTCTCTCTTTTTTTTAAAATTTTTTTATTTTTATTTTTATTTTTTTGAGAGGTGGCAGCGCCACCACTGTCCAGCTTGCCCACTTTCATTTACTCAACTTCAAACAGACTTTTGCTTAGCTCTGCAGTGCTGAGCATGGAACCCGGACCTGTCATGCTAAGCAAGCGCTCCACCATTGAGAACATGCCCAGCAGTTAAGAACTCGTGCTGGGCGGTGGTGGTGGCGGCGGCGGCGGCGGCGGCGGCGGCGGCGGCGCACGCCTTTAATCCCAGCACTCGGGAGGCAGAGGCAGGCAGATCTCTGAGTTAGAGGCCAGCCTGGGCTACAGAGTGAGTTCCAAGAAAGGAGCAAAGCTACACAGAGAAACCCTGCCTCGAAAAACCAAAAAAAAAAAGAACACATGAGCGGCCTTTTCCTTCCTTTAGCTACACTGAGAAAGAACGTATTTAAAGCCATTTTTACCACATGATCACTCTGGGTACAGCAGGTTTGACTTACCGCATTTCCGGCTGCTGACTGGCCCCTGGGTCCACGGGGCTGTGCGGACCTTCCAGCCACCAGGACTGTCTCGAGGAATGCTTCGAGGCTTGGTGGGAAGCAGTCCCTGAGCCGACTAGGAAGGAAGCTAAATAAACCCGCACAGGTGCTGTACGCTCCATCTGGGCAGCACCGTCACATCCCCCCTCCTTCTGTTCCCGTTTGTCCCCCTCCCCCATCTCCTGTGCTCACGTGCTGCTGTCTCTAGCCCGTGGCCTCCACCTGGGGAGGTTAAGTGCTATGTGACTGCTTCTTAGGTGGCTCCTGATGCACTGTCCACCAGGATCTCAAGGAAGGCGTGGCAGGGGCATCTGAGGCTCACCATGCTACAGACACAGTGCTGGTCGCCCATGATCAGAATGGACGGGGATCACCTCAAAAAAGAGGCTAGGCAAGGTCTTCTGGAGGGCTCTCCCCACCTAGAGAACGCTAAGTGAGTCTAGGCAATCTGGAGCTGGCTTCAAAATCAGCAACCGGGGGGTGGGGGGCATCTCACAACAAACAGTGGTAACAGAAGGTTTGTGTGGGAAGATGGTTAAGTTTGATCTAAAACAAGCCGTGTCTGTGGTAATGAGCTGTTGTTAGGAAGCACGCGGGGCCTCTGAAGAAGGCTGCTGCCTCTCCAGGGCTGGGCTTTTTGGGGAGAAGGGATGCAGGAGGGCAAAGCAAGGTGAAGCAAGGACCTGACTGAGGCACGTGGGGACAGCAGGGAGCAGAGAAGCCTGGCAGTGCGTGTGGCGGCCACACTGGCCTGCTCTGGAATCTTGGCATCACTCGACTGCTGTGCAACAGCAGTCCTGTGAAATGAGGACATCCGAGGTATCAGCAAGGGGCCTGGTGAGAAACACAGGGTGGTGAAGTTCCTGGAGGCTGGCAAAAGGCAGGGAGATAGGGCCAGTTCTGACCTTTGGGACAAGGAGAGGGTGTGGCACCAAGCTTCAGTTGTCTGGAGCAAGAGGAGCCTGGCCATTGCCAGCCTGCACCTAGAGGAGGCGGCCAGGTGTGAGTCCCTCAACCTCCCCAGCAGCCCTCCCAGCCCAGCATCTCCAATGGCTCCTGACCAGAAGTCAAGGCAGAACCCAGAGGCCAGTTAGCCTCTTCCCAGGGGGAGGAGGGAACCAGGGAGCACCCAGAATACATGACCCTCCTGGCAGGTAGGTTTGGAGGAGTTAACTCCGTTACTGAGACGGGCCACTCACTGCTCTTGTGATCAGGCTATGTGGTCTTTACTTATTAAAAGGCGATGACACAGCCTTAATCTCAGGCTACAAAAGCCAGAACCAAATCATGAGTGAAAAACGAAACACAACTTTGTACAAAATGGACAGGTAACATTTATTAAAACGTGTCATACAAAAGGGCATGGTCTCTTCTATAAGAAGAAAATATTAAACAGTAACATTCAGTTAAAACCACGCTGTATACCGAAGACAGCAATTCTAGAGAGAACTATTTAACTTCTGCAACACAGGCAGTCCACAAAGTATCCATGATATGCACCTAATGACAATCTGTTTATCATCCCGTGGTTCTGTGGCCCAAGAGTCACCTGACTTGCATAAATAAGTTTTCTGGAAGAAACATTAGGAACCTCATAAAAAGAAAGGCAGCAGCGACTGACAGGACACAGGCTTCAAGCAACATTAAAAAGAAACAAAAATCACATTTGCAGAGGTGTTCCAGCACGTTCCCACAGGGTACTATCAGTAGAGATCTGCAATTAGAAACTAGTACCTTTAAATATGTAAATAGCAGAGGAAAAAAACACAACAAAAACAGAAGAAAAATCAAAGCAACCCTGGATTCATTGGATAAAGTTAGTCACTAGTCAAAGCAACCTAAATCACAGGAGGCCAAGGGCAGCCCTCGGTCCCCAGCATTCCCAAAGGGTCAGAGTTCAACGAGCAACCACCTCATCTGTGGCAGAGGCAAAGCTGCATCCGACCTTGGGGACCCTGCTGCAGCACCGGTGCCTGTTTCTCACCCTCCCTTCCACACCAGTCAGGGTGTGCCATCATCCTCTGCAGCACGCAGCTTTCCCGACAGCTACGAGCCTGTCCAGGGTCAGCTAGTTCAGTAAATACCCCCTGCAATGGAGGGAACCCTTTAGGGCAGGCTCTACGGACCTGGCCAGAGAAGGTGAGCTATAGAAATCAAGGCCATGGGCCAGGGCTCAGAACAAGGGCACACGAGGAGCCGGACCATGCAGCTCACTGACGTGTGCATCCAAGATTGGAGGCATGGTGCATGCAGACTATGAAATGCAACCAGCAGGGTCTGGAACCCTTTCCTATAAGGACTGGAGAAAAACCAGTCAAGGCTCAAAGTAGAGAACACTTTGCTGGTGGGCCACTGATGAAGTCCCTGAACACTGGACTTTGTACAAAAATGTACAGTGCTGTCCACAACTATTCAAGCTTGTCTGGAAGGGTGGGCTTTCCTAAGGCAGTGGTGGAGACCAGTACTACAGCAGGGAAGGGGTGCTGGGAAGGCCCTCTAATGGGAAAGGCGGGTCAGAAGCCTCGGCTTTAATGCCTAGACCATGGTTACTCCTCTGCCTCCTGGACCTAGGACACCCCACCTATTCACAAAAGCTTTGTCACCATGCATGACAAGGGTACAGGTTCAGTCCAACCCAAGGACCCCGATGTTGCCAGGGTGTTTTCCTTTCCCCTCAGATTCGTCTCCACAAGGGTCCTAGTTCTCACATGAAGAGACTTCAATGGGCGACAGTTCAACAGGCAGAAGGCATTCTGTGAATACGAGGGTGGGCAGGGTGCAGAGCAGCTCCTGACAACAGAGTGCCTTAACTGCCTCAGGGTAGAAGTTACTAGAAGCTGAAAATACTTCATCCTTACACATCTTAGGGTCATCCCTAAACCCTCTGGCCTCTCCCGTGAGAAGACGAGGAGGCATGTGAGTGTGGCCGTACAATCCCCTCTATGCGCTTCCAAGGTACATAGAGAGGACTCTGCAGACAGACAGACTCCCAACACTGGGAGAACATCTGAATGTACCAAACCACTAGGAGGTAATATCTAGTTTCCAGGTTTTTAAAAAAAAAACTACATCTATACTTAGAATAAAGTTTTAAATACAAAGTGCTTTTATCTGCCAAGATGGATACAGTGTTCGTAAATCCCTGTTTCACAATCTTGATCATAAGCATTTACTGGTGAGTCCCTATTTTCTTTCCCCTTTCCAAACAAAGGTCAAAGGTGAACCCCTGGTGTCAGAAGCCTTATGATCAGAAGCCCTTGCCAGAAATGTCCGTCACGTTAGAGAAAGACAAACTTTAAAAACAAAATTTCACCCCAAATCCAAGAAAAATAATTTTTATTTTAAGGGAAAAAAAAGTTTCTCCTTAGCAGTAATAGACCAGTAAGTTTATGGAGAATGGCACAGGAGCAACACCCTGTCCTAGCTAGCCGACAGTTTGACACAGCCTGGCATCAACTGGGAAGGGAGTCTCAACCGCGGACCAATCAGAGTGGCCTGTGGCACGCGCCTCTGTGGCTGATGGTCTTGACTGTCAGGATTCCAGTTCCTGCTGTGACTTCCCTCAGGGATGACTGTGGCACAGTAGTGTAAGCTGACATAAACCCTTTCTCCTCCAGCTGCTTTTGGTCAGAATGTTAACACATTCCCAGGAGCCAAAAGCAGTCTAGACATACCCAGTAAGAGCTACAGGCCTATCACACGATTAAAAGCTTTCTGAACACAAGATTTCTTTCCAACCTAAAACACCCGACTCCAGGCAGAACAGGCCTTGAAGGGCGGGCGGCCTTCCTTCCCCTAGTGGGTGTAAATGTGTGCAGCTTTCTCTTCGACTAGGGAACATGATCTGTGGATGACGTTGCTTGATGGGGGACTCCTTTCCCACTTTGAACTCACACTCCGGGTCCCAGAAAGAGCTGACAGTGTTGCTCAGTGCACCCTCTAAACAGCATTCCCCACACCTGTGCAGCTTTGAGGCTTTTCTAAGTTGCTGCCTCTGCCGACTCTCACTGAGTATGGGGGTGTCCCGCTCACAGGTAACTCTTAGCCACTCATTCTGGCTAGGTCCCATGAGCTGTGGTCCCTGGTTGACCCTTGTTGGGAAGCACCATGATCTGGGGGGGGGGGACCGGGGGACAGGACACTGCCAGTACGGTAGAGAGTCAACTTCAGGCTGGACATCTGGTCCAGATGCCACCATTAAATGAGGGGGGGCAACTAGAGACACCCATGTCTGGCACCCAGAGACTTAAAAGGAAACACAATGGTTCAAACCCAATTAGAACTAAGCACAAACCGTGCTTTGTCAAGTCTGCAGCGCTATGAAACGAGCCATGTCACCTGTTCTGGACTCAGGTCTATCTAACATCGCCAGTTTCAGCTAGAACTTTAGAAACTAGACTTGAAAGAGCTCTGTTCACATCTCAGCCCAGGAGTCAGGCTGCTGTAGCCTCAAGGGGAGCAGCATCCAGTGATGCACTACCTAAGTAAAGCCCCAGAATCCCTGTAGCCATCAGGAGAAAATAAAATGCAACATGACCTCAGAGCACTGAGTGATGGAAAACTGCAGCCACCTGAGTGAACTGGTGGGTTAGTGTGCCACCAAGTCCACCACTTCAGTCACGCTGGCTGGAAAGGCTGTCTTGCCAGCTGGGCACTGGGTGAACTTATCCCTATCATCCATTCTAGGCCAGGACCAGAACATACAAATTTGAGGAATTAAATTTTTTAATTGGCCTACTTAGAGCTGGTCTTTCAGAAATATCTTCCTTTTTTTTTTCTTTTTAAGCTTCTCTCATAATAGCAAGTGGCACGCATCATCTGTGCCCAGATTTGCATTAATTACCATAGTTTATTTTTGTGCATGCCACTCAAGGGCCAGACCCTATTTTTAGTTAGCCTCCGTCGTATTCTGCTCAGCCTTTGCAGCTTCATAGGACTTGGTACAAGAAGTCACATGCCTGTGGAAACTGTCCCTCCACATAAATCTCTTTGCACAGATATTACACTCATAGGGCTTTATGCCTGTATGAATTTTCATGTGGCCCACGAGATGGTGCTTCATTTTGAATTTCTTACCACAGACACCACAGCCATAAGGGCGAAGACCGAGGTGCATGCTCATGTGTCGATCTCGCTGACTCTTGTGTGTGAAACTTTTCCCACACTGACAAGGATACAGCTTGTCAGTGGCTGAGAATCCTAAGTGGGACGCCTCTTCTTTTATCCCCGTCACCATTTCAATATTCTCACTGTAGCCTGCTGCGAGGGCAGCCTCCTGTCTGTGCCCAATTAGATTCCCATCCAACCTTTCTCCAGAAAACTCTTCCATGGAGGAGCCATAAAAGTCCACCTGTTCGTCATAGTTGCTCTCCTCTGCTTGCTCATCAAACTCTGCCTCCACTTTCTTCTCCACAATCTGGAAGTCCTCCTCCACTCCCGAAGGCTGGACCAAATGCTCCGTCTGCATGGTGTTGACGGACTCAGTGACCTGGTGTTCGTCATAGGCCGCGTGCACATCCATGCCCTCGCAGGCCTGTTCCAGGCGTTCAGGCTTCACGTGGATCCAGCGTTTGTGAGCCATTATGCTGGGCTTGCTGTACAGAGGCCGGGTGTAGTGGAACTCGGCGCTGTCGCTGGCTCCTTCCTCCCCATCCTGGCTGGCCATCTCGGTGCTCAGTCGGTCATGCTCTGTGGAGGAGTTGCTGGGCAAGTACTCTTGCTCGGTGAGCTGAGACGACAGCTCATCTTTGGTGCTCTCCTCTTCGTTCTCACCATCCCTCAGTTCCTGTGCTTTGGGGAAGTCAGCATGGCCCCCGGAGCCCAGCTCAAAGCTCTCTACCAGGCCATTGTAGTTACTGCTACTGGGAGACTGGTGGTCGCTGCTGTGATTTAGCTTCTGACACAGGACAGTGGGGTTCCCCTCCAGAACCTCAGTGCACTTGTCTACCACATGCCACATCTGGAGGAAGCTGGCTGCTGTCAAGTAACTGACGATCTCTGGAGCAGGCATCACAAGGCGTCCTGTGTAGCTGGAGAGGAGAATGTTCTCAAACACTCTCGGGTTCATCACATCGGGCAGGACAATCCTCCTGCTGTTTTTCAGGAGGACTTGGTCACAGAAGTAGGGTGAACTGGCAGCCAGCACAGCTTTGTGTGCCCGGAAAATGTGGCCTTGGACAACAATGGAGACGTCACATAGCTGTCCTTGTTGGCGCTGCTGGTTCAGTTTCTGCAGAATGGTGCTGGAAAAATCTGGAAACTCTACTCGAAAAGAGTTCGTTCCAGGCTCCATTTCATCACCAATCTTGTTTAGTGCTGCAAGAGAAAGAAGAGTTAGCATGAACTCCAGCCTCAAGGAAGCCCTGTCTACCCCATGGCCCAGCTCACCAAGACAAGTCCAGTTGATCAAGTCCTCTAGCCTCTGGGCACTCATCCACAGGAGTAATCCCCAGAGAGGCCCGGAGGTTCAAGAGTGCCAAAAGGAAGAGCCACCCCCCCCCCACACCAGCTCTCCATTCTGTCCCATCTGTGGGTGAGGAAGCAGAATCCACAGTGAATAGATCTGTGAGCATATAAATCCCCTAAGCAAAACAAAGTAACTATTTCTAATAAAAACAAACATGATTCTTATCAAAATAGCTTAATTGTAATGCTCAGACTCCCCACATTTACTAAAGAAAAGAGAGGAAGGAACAACAGGAACAGAACTGGGGGCGGGGGGAGAAAGAATGTCTGCTTAGCATGTATGTCTCTGGGTTCCATCTCCATGGACACTCCAAAGGAAAAGAGCAAAGTGCAGAACTGAGCCGTGGAAGATGGAAACGCCTGTGCATTTCTTCAGACAGAAATGAACCGGCTCACAGCCCCATAAGCATGAGGACAAGTGTTGGGTTCCCCTGGACCCAAGTAAAAAGAAGGGCCTGGCAGCTGATGGCTGTAACTCGTAACAGTGCAGGGTGAAGACAGGAGAATGCCCCCACCTCAGCTCTTGGGCCAGCCAGTCTAGCCAATTAGCTCCTCAGTGAGACCCCGTTCAAGAAATAAGGTGGAGGACATAATGATGACTTATGTGCAAATGTGGACAGAAGAGCAGAGGTTGACGTTACTTCAGGTTGGCCACCCCAACCCCAACAATCCACCTATCTTCTTCCCAGTGCTGGGGTTGAACTGGGGTCCTCACGTTTGCTGAGCCATCTCTTAAGCAGTTCTTATAAATCTTCCCAATAACCCTTGTGTCATGCTTCGGTTCCTCAGAAGTCATTCTTGAGTGACAGGAGAGGACAAGTGAAGAAACTGAGGTGTTCTTAAGAATCACTCTGTTTAGCCGGGCGGTGGTGGTGCACACCTTTAATCCCAGCACTTAGGAGGCAGAGGCAGGTGGATCTCTGTGAGTTAGAGGCCAGCCTGGTCTCAGAGCAAGTTCCAGGATAGCTAGAACTATTACAAAAAGAAACCCTGTCTAAAAAGCAAAAATAAATAAAAATATAGTTGCTCTGTGTCAAATGTGGTATACAATTTTCCATGAAGTTTTGCTTTGTTGTTATTGTTTTGAGACAAAGGTCTCTCTCTCTCTCTCTGTAGCCCTGGCTGACCCGGAACTATGTAGAGCAGGCTAGCCTCAAACTCAGAGACTTGCCTACCTCTACCTCTTGATTGCCAGGACTAAAGGTGTGCCCCACCGCACCTGGCTCTTCCTCCTCTCCCAGGCTGGCTTTGTGCTAGGTGAGTGGGTTGTCCCTGAGCTCCAGGTCAGCTCTCCACAGTTTGGCAATGCAGGGCTTGGTTTTCTCAAGTTCAGTTATTTTAAGCGACTTCCCTGAAGTTAAAAGCTTGTTCTTACTAAGTAGAGAGATGAATCCAGGTCAGTGTTAACTCCAAAGCCTATGGCTTTTTTCCCATAGGCTTTTCACATCACCCTGTCTCCTCCAATGAGACCAGAATGCTGGACCAGTCATTAATAGTCTTTAGATAAGACAGTGCTTTTTGAACAGTGTTTCTCTGTGTGGCTCTGGCTGTCCTGGAACTTGTTCTGTAGACCAGGCTGGTCTCGAACTCAGAGATCCACACCCCCCCCACCCCGCCCCCACAGGCATTCTAGTTTGTAAAGGAAATGCAGACCATGTATTTGCATGGCTGACAGGTGTCTATGTAAATTCTGAGAGCGCAGTCTGGGCTGAGGGCATCTGGGGGGGAGGGTGTAGGTATTTCTGCCCACAACAGAATTTTGGTTTTCAAAAAGGGGAGAACAGTGCTAGACTAGAAATCAGGAGTGGAATATTACAACAGCTGTGTGTGGATGAGGAATTGCTGCTTGAGGACAGACACACCACAAGATCAGCTCTGGACTGCATCTCCCATTTCCCTGATAACACAAGGACTTTGAGCCGGGAGAATCACAGCTGCCCCTTCTTAAGGATTCAAATGCCATATGAAAGGGAGGGGGAGGAGGAGGTGTCAGGGCTTAGTTAAGGACAAGTTACTACTGCCTCTCGTTGTTTTGTTTTGTTTGTTTTTCTAGACAGGGTTTCTCTGTGCAGCCCTGGCTGTCCTGGAACTCACGCTGTAGACCAGGCTGGCCTCGAACTCACAGAGATCTGCCTGGCCTTAAAGGTGTGCACCACCATCACCGCGGCTGCTGCCCAGCTTAAACATTACCATTTTTGTTTGTTTGTTTTCTGAGACAGGGTTTCTCTCTGTAGAGCCCTGGCTGTCCTGGAACTCACAGAAATCTACCTGCTTTAAAGGGGTGCACCACCACCATCACCGCTGCCGCCTAGCTGAAACATTACCATTCTTATGGGGTTTATAATCTGTCAGAGGACAAACATATCCAGCATGTCATTCAAGCAAAGCCTGAAACCACCATGAGAAGAACCCAGGGTGGTAGATTATGGTCACAAGGTCCTATCACTATGAAGTTTGGAGCCACCAGACCTGGACACAGGCTCTCATTCTTCTCACATACCATGTTTTTATGGAAATAATACAAGTAATAAGAAAAATGAGCTGAACTCCAAGATCCTAGAGAATGGTGTGAGTTGTGAGCCACAGGCTTGAAGAAATCAGAGCTACTGAAGATGGAACCTGGGTGAAGAGATAGATGCTGCCCTGACCAGCAACTGCACTTCCTGCTCCAGGCAGTCCAGACAATAGCACCAAGCTCCAGAGAACTAACAATGCCTGAGAGTCTGGGTGTCTACACAGCCTAGATCCATCTGAGAGGAAATACCTGAATCAGACTGGCCTGTGGCCATGTGTGTGGGGAAGTGCCTTGACTATTAATTGTTGTAGGAGGACCCAGCCTATTGTAGGTGGCACTGGGAAGGAAGCCTTAGGTTGTATAAGCAACTAGAAGAGCACAGGTCTTGAGCCAGAGTGAGCCAGTAAGCAGTTTTCCATGGTTCCTGCCTTGAGTTCCTTCTCTGATTGGAGTGTGACCTGTAGTGTAGGCTGAATAAACCCTTTCCTCCCAAGTTGCATTTAGACAGTTTTATCACAGCAACAGAATGAAGCTACAACACTGAGTTTCACCATCAAACATGAGGACCGAGGCAGCACCAAGTGTGTCAGAGTAAGATGTTGTGAGGTCACGGAAAGTCTGAATTTGGGACTACCTGCAAGGCTTCATTAAATGTAGTCTACACTTGAGTAATAAAAATAGTGTGTCTAGAAAATAGAGGGAGACAATGATGGGATTTGCAGAACTGGTGGACAGGAAGCTCCAGTACTGTGAGCCTTAAGTGCTACCATCAAGAAAATAAAGAGACCACACACAGAATGGGAGACTATTTGCATAGTACTATGAATAGCTTGTACGAGTGCATACAAAGCCTACAGCCAGTAGTAAATAACCCAATAGAAAAGAATGGACAAAAGATTCCAAAAGGCATTTCTCCAAAGAGCAAGACCCTGATGAAGAATGCTCAGCATCATGTGGGCTGGAATGCAGCTAGCTCAGGGAGAATGCCTGTCTGCCATGTGCAAGGTACCTGGTTTCAGGCCTAGCACCACACCTTTCCCCATCCCTAAAACAATCAAAACTACAAGGAACCCTTTTCTCACTCACTAAGATGGCATGAAAAGTAAGAGGCATTCACAACTGTTCAGTAGTGTCCCATGGAGACAAGAACCATTATACACACTTGCTGGTAGGCATGGAAATGGTTTAAAAGCTGCAGAAAGGGGGTTGGGAGTTTCTCAAACGGCTAAACAGATGTAGCCCTACTTTTGAACATATGCTGAACAGAAGAGAACACATGATGTCCATACCAAAGCTCATGCATGACTGTCCACAGCAGCATTATTAAACAATAAAAGTGTATATCAATCAATGACTACATAAAACACAGCACTTCCATTTAAGAGATCATCTGGCAGTAAGAAAGAACAAGGTGTCAAGCAGGGAGGGCCCGGCCTGGAGACAGGATGATAGAAAGGAACCAGGGCTGGGAATTGCTGGGGTTATACTCAGCATCATAAAGAACAAGACAAAGGAGGAGGAAGAGATTAATGGGAGAGGCAGAATATGCAAAGAGAAAGAAGGAGAGGGCAGGAGGAGAGTGGACACAAAGGACCACATTTTCATCATTCCATTACAAAAGACACATTCAAAACAAATTTAGAAAGTGGATTAGTGACTGCCAGAAACTAGCGATAGAGAAAGACAGGGAGTGATTAACAATTGGGTATTTTGTTGGGCGTGTTGGTACACATCCTTAATCCCAGCAGAGGCAGGTGGATCTCTGTGAATTAGAGGCCAAGCCAGTATAAAAGCAAATTCCAGGACAGCCAACACAGAGCACAGGACAGAGCAACACAGAGAAACCCTATTTAAAAAAAAAACAACCTTAAACACAAAACAAAACAAAGAAAAAACAATTGGGAATTTTTTAAGGGAGGTCAGAAATTCTGCAATTCAGTTGTGAAGGTTATATGCTTCACACATGCTAGGCAAGCATCTTTAGGGCTTTATCTCCAGCCCATGAACTGTTTTTCTTCAATTATTTTACAGATTATAATTTGTATAATATAAATTATAATACAAGGGAAACCAAGGTACCAATGTCAGTTTGTTTTCTTTTTGAGACAGGGTCTAGCTATGCAGCGTAGGAAGACTCAAGTCTCCATTCTCCTACTTGGGCATCCCGAGTGCTGGCATTATAGGTGCATGCCATCATGTCCAACTGCCAATGCCAACTGTGAAGGTTTGTGGTGTTTTACCTCCAGGCAGGATATAATGACATTTTGGAGTAGGAAATACCTTGGCCAGGTAGCTATGCCTACCAATAAGCAAAACCACACAGTGATACTCCCCAGCACATGAATGAGAGAGGGTCCAAAATCATCACTGGGGATTCTAGCTATTACTCCCTCATGCCCCATCCCCAACCCCCAAGTGAACGAGGTGAGAGGTCAACTGAAAGGGGACTCTATAATGCTGCTTCCTTGAGGTCATTATCCATGCTGGGATGGAGCTCACCCATGGTCCTGTAAATAGCCCCTCACCCACACTCTATAAGCAAGCCCAATAAACTCACTGGTTCGCCAAGTTGTACTTTGGTGGTATCGTACTTTGCTCTGTCCTTGGTGCCCTATCTGGGATGAATAAACGTTTGTTCGCATCTCCCTAGGAAAAGTTAATGCAACACTGGGTAACTAGGAAAATGTCATCATTAACAGAACAGCAACTGCTTATTAATGTATACACAAATACATATATAAGGATGTACACAAACACAACTGTCTCATAGTATTTGTGGGGGTTGGTCCTAGGACTACCCCTCAAACATCAAAACTCTGAGATGCTCAAATCATCTGAAGAAAATGGTTGAATATTTACAATGCCACCTACTCATGTCTTCAAGAGTACTTAAGAGCTTAAGACCACTCCTAATCCCTGACATGGTATGTGGACAAGTGTCAGACTGCACTGCTTAGGGGAGGGCAAGAACACATGAGCAATACAGTGGCGTTCTTTTTAAAAAAATTTACTTTATTTATTTATTTATTTATTTACTTACTTACTTATTTTTACTTTTTCGAGACAGGGTTTCTCTATGTAGCCCTGGCTGGCCTTGAACTCAGAGATCCACTTGCCTCTGCCTCTCAGTGCTTGGGATTAAAGGCATGCACCACCACTGCCTGGCGATTTATTATATTTTTAACTATATGTACGTGTGGGTCTATGTGTGTGAGCTTGTGCATGTGAGTACAGGTGCTCTTGGAGGCCAGAAACTGATACTTGACCCCAGGAGCTAGAGTAACAGGCAGCTGGGAGCTACCCAATGTGGGTGCTGGGGACTGAACTCTTCTCTGCAAGAGAAGTATTTGTTCTTAATGACTGAGCCATCTATCCAGCCCTTCCTAAATATTTCCCATCTGTGAAGGGTTGACTCCATGGATGCAGACTCCAGAGACACAGAGACTCTGCACACAGCACTTCACATTCTTTACTTCATTTGGTCCTTCTTACAGCACTTGGTAGTTATTGTGACAAGACCCAGAGGACAACCTAGCTGCCCAAGGCTGTCCACTGAGGAGTGGTGAGGTTTAAGCCCAGAGCACATGTTCAGGTCAATCAGTGTCTGAGAGGTGGGTGCAGTAGCTTAGGAAGGGAGGTAGACATGAGCAAGTTTCACAAATAACCTAAATAATCCTTGTTTTGAAACAAGGCCTCATTATATTGCTCAGACTAGCTTCAAACTTGGGGCAATCCTCCTGCTTCAGCCTCTTTTTTTTGTTTGTTTGTTTTTTGTTTTTGTTTTTGTTTTTTCGAGACAGGGTTTCTCTGTGTTGTTTTGGTGTCTGTCCTGATCTTGCTCTATAGCCCAGGCTGGCCTTGAACTCAACAGAGATCTGCCTGTCTCTGCCTCCCGAGTGCTGGAATTAAAGGTGTGTACCACCACACTAGCTCTAAGTAATCCATAATTTATATTATGAGCAATTCATTCATAAACTCCAGAGCATTTGCCAACTTCAGACTTAAACCAGCAATTTTATGTCATCTTGCACATAATTTTCAAACTCCAATAGCAATTGTTTTTCTAAAATAATTACACCAATCCCAGCTCATTCCCTTCATCATTCATGGAAGCTACATGTATAGCTTTTTGTTTTGTTTTTTGAGACAGGGTTTCTCTGTATATCCTTAGCTGTCCTCGAACTCACTCTGTAGACCAGGCTGGCCTGGAACTCAAGAGATCCTCCTGCCTTTGGGTTGCTGGTTTTAAAGGCATGTGCCACCATCGCTCGCCTGTTTAATGGCTTTTTAAAGCAGAAGAAAAGGGCTGGTGATAGGGCTCAGTGGGTAATGGGGCCTGCTGCCAAGCCTAAGACCTGAGTTTAATTCCTAGGATCCACATGGTGGATGGAGAGAACTGGCTTTCCCAAGTTTTTCTCTGACCTCCACATGTTGCAGGTATAGGCCCGCACACATACAAAGTAAATAAAAAAAGCAATGAAAATTAAAAATAAAATCAAAATAAAGCAGAAGGCAAAGGGCCTTCCATTGACGACTCCCTGAAATAGACTGCCTCTAACTTCCCTCCCATGCTGATAAGCTGAGCAGTAGCCACTATTTATTCTTCAGCTGAGAAAATTGTGTATCAAATCTTAGACACCATTTTAACAGGGACTAAACACCCTAAAAGCACAGAGACAGCGAGGAGACAGGGAGGCAGACCTAACAGCGCCTGTACTGAAGCCCTCCAGGGAAGTCTTAATCAGAGCATATGGTAATTTGCATGCTCACTGTAGAAGGCACATTTAAGCACAGTAAATGTTGCTTTAGGAAATTTAAAGTCTGGCACAAATGTAGAAAAATACCAACACCCCTTGCATCCACAAAACACAGCCTGTAAACCTGGGCCCTGCAGAGTCCTTCACAGCTTACTCAGTTCTGAGAGTAAAGGGAAGCTCACAGGCTCACATGACAAGACCTCCTCTGAACACACAGTTCAGCAGGTAGCAGGCATCAGAAGTGTAACTCCAACTCTAATTAATACATTTCTGAGTAAAAAAAAATGATCATTTGGCAGAAATTTCTTTCTGGGCCTTATTAACAGAAAGTACCATGGTGACTAGCCCTAAAATGTACAGTAGTTCTTCTTCAGAGGAATCTGATCTAGCCCATTAATAACCTTGACAAGGGGTTAGAGAGAGCACTGGCTGCTCTTCAGAGGACCCAGGTTTGATTCCTAGCACCTGTATGGCAATTCGAAGCCATCTCCAGTCCAAAGGGAGATTGATGCCCTCTTGTGACCTCTGTGAGCACTAGACACACATGAAAACAAAACATCCACCCACATATATAAATAAATTTTTAAATTAAAAAACAAAACTTGACAAACTACATTGTTTTTGTTGATAGGAAATTATTACAATAAAGTCTTAAAAATTACATTATTAGTACATTTATAGCTTACTCAGTGCAAAGCTGTATTCCTGGTGATGTTCCTTATGCCATGGCCATCAAAGAGCAGTCTGAATGAATAGAAAAAGAGAATGCATTTCTCAATTTTGCTTTAAATTAAATCACTGATTTCTTTCTTTCTTTCTTTTCTTTTCTTTTCTTTTGGTTTTTCGAGACAGGGTTTCTCTGTGTAGCTTTATGCCTTTCCTGATCTTGTATGTAGACCAGGCTGGCCTCGAACTCACAGAGATCCGCCTGCCTCTGCCTCCTGAGTGCTGGGATTAAAGGCATGCGCCACCACCGCTCGGCTAAATCACTGATTTCTAAAAGTTAAAAGTACATTGAAAATGTAAGAGGCTGACTGTTCAGTGGTTGCGAGTTCCTGCTGCTCTTTCAGAGGCACCCAAGTCAGGTGACTCACAACTGCCTATGACTCCAGCTTCAAGGGACCCAGTTCTTCCTTCTGGCCTCCACAGGTACCTGATACACATGGCACTGGCGCACACACATGCAAATAAAATAAATATTATAAAAAAGAAATAATTTAGGATGCCTGTGCCAGTCTTATACATGTGCTTCCCTGATGAACACTGAGGAGCAGACAAAAAGCTCATTAAAACTGCTGCTGTCCAGTCGATGTAGTGCCCATCTGTAATCCCAGAACTGAAGGGCTCCAACAGGAGGCTTCATAGTGAGTTAAGGGCCAGCCTGAGCTACACAGCAAGACTCCATCAAAACCAAAGTTTAATTATGAACTTTCATTCTAGAGGCTCTTGGCTTGGCTGCTTCTATGGTATTTTAAAATAAATTTTATTACATTTTAAGTTGTTTTCCTGTGTCGTGCAAAAGCACACAGCACACGGAGGTCAGAAGTCAACTTGCTGGAGTCAGTCCTCTCCTTCTACTGCATGGGTGCTGGGATCAAATCCAGGCTGTCAAACTTGGCAATGCTAGGCAGGGCCAGGCCATTTTGTGCAGCTCCTCCACCTTGGCTGAACTGTGACAACTCCTGTAACTATAATTTTGTCTCCTGAACTAAAGCGATGTGTTCCTATCGATTCTCGCCTTCCCGTCCAGTCAAGCCCCAGGAATGGCCAGCAGGAGAGATGCTTACTGGTCACCTAACTGTCTTAGTTATAACTGACTACTCATCCGATACCAGCAGCAATCACCAACTGCTTGAGATTGACTGAGAACCGTCTCAACCTACTTCCCTTCTCCTCTCCTCTAAAACACGCAAGGAAACCCCATTCTGCCACATGGGCCCAAGCTCTCTTCAGCCCCTGCCATGCTGATGACTTACCTATGGTATTAAATCTCTCTTCTAGAACATCTCTTACCCCAAAGAATAATCTGCCTCAGTGTACCCCTTGATCTTCAAACCTCTTATAATGGTGTGGAAACCCTAGAGAAGGCTCCGCTGAAATGGTTGCTCTCTGGGACCCCTCCACCCTTGTTACTGCTTTCTCTCCATCTAACTCTGGCCTCCATTTTCCACTGAGGAATTTTTCTGGTTTTCTGGGAGCTACATCCATTTGTTGCCCTTTTCCCAGAAAACCCCAATACCGGGTCAGAATGGTCCTGGGCTTGGGTCAGGCTCTATTGCCTTTAAAGCAGCCAAGTTAAGAACACTTGCTTTCCTCAGTTTACTGTTAGTGACACTGTCACAACTCTGGAAGGAAATTCTGCTAGGAAAGAAAACTGAGGCAGCATGCTGTCTAAGTCTGCAAGATCTTGAGACCCATTTGGAGGGTTTCAGTGAGCTAACTGGGTCAGATAGCAGCCCAACAGAAGCACCCACTTCTTTAAAGTTTGGAACTTCAGCGGGGGGTGGGGGGGGGGGGGGGGGGGGGGGGGGGGGGGGGGGGGTTGGTGGCAGCCCACACAGGACCACACAGGAAATCTAACTCTTGGACGGGGAAAGGAGGAGGATCAGGAGTTCAAGGTCATCTCACTGGGACTTTCAGGCTACTCTGGGCTCTGATAGACAGTATATATATGTTGCAGGGGTTTTTTTTTGTTTTGTTTTGTTTTTTTGAGACAGAGTTTCTCTACATAGGCCTTGCTGTCCTCAAACTCAGAGAGATCCATAAGCCTCTGCGCCTCCCAAGTGATGGATTAAAGGCATGGGGCACCACCTAGCTCATATACTGAAGTCTTAACAGCAGTGGCTACTGAGGTAATGGCTAAGCCACTCCTGAGAAGATTAATGTTTCTGATGACACAAAGAATGATTCCATACGGAGGAACCATGGATGCAATTCTAAGGTAGACAGTACTCAGATGAGTGGGACTCCGAATGTTGTTAACAAGTTGTTGTTCTGTTTTTTCAAGACAGGGTTTCTCTGTGTAGCCCTGGCTGTGGTGGGACTCACTCTGTAGACCAGGCTGACCTCGAACTCACAAAGATCCACCTGTCGCCGGGCGGTGGTGGTGCATGCCTTTAATCCCAGCACTTGGGAGGCAGAGGCAGGCGGATCTCTGTGAGTTCAAGGCCAGCCTGGGCTACCAAGTGAGTTCCAGGACAGGCACAAAGCTACACAGAGAAACCCTGTCTCCCGAAAAACCAAAAGAAAAAAAAAAAAGATCCACCTGTCTCTGCCTCCCAAGTGCTGGAATTAAAGGTGTGTGCTACCACCCATTGTTGTAACAACTGGGTACTTTAACTGATCTATATATATGTTTTTCCTTTTATAAGAGTGTGCATTGATTTTACTCTTTAAAACTCTTAAGTGGGGGCTGGAGAGATGACTCAGTGGTTAAGAGCACTAGCTGTTCTTCTAGGGGACCCAGGTTCAATTTCCAGCACCCACATGGTAGCTCACAACTGTCTGTAACTCCAGTTCCAGGGGACCTGATATCTTATTTATTTTTTATCCTGGCATGATCAGACTCCAGGTGACCTGGGAATTGAACCAGGTTCCTCTGAAACATCAGTCAGTGCTTTTTGTTTGTTTGTTTGTTTTTTTCAAGACAGGATTTCTCTGTAGCTTTGGAGCCTGTCCTGGACTACCTCTGTAGACCAGGCTGGCCCTGAACTCACAGAGATCCACCTGCCTCTCTGCCTCCCGAGTGCTGGGATTAAAAGTGTGTACCACCACCGCCCAGCCAGTCGGTGCTCTTAACTGCTGAGCCATCTCTCTCCTCTGGGATCTGACACCTTCACACAGACATATATGCAGGTGAAACACCAATACACATAAAATAAAAATAAATAATTAAAAAAAAAATCCAAACTCTTAAGTCAAGCCAGGTGGTGGCTTGATCACAGCACTTGGGAGACAGAGGCAGGTAGATCTCTGAGTTCCAGGACAGCCAGGAAACCCTGTTTCAAAAAAAACCAACAAAACAAAAGCAAACAAAAAACCAAAACAATAACAAAAACCCCAAAAACAAAAACTTGAAAAATGAACTTAAAGGCGGGCAAGATTTATAAAACAAAAACAAAACAAAGCAAAAAACCAAAAGCATAGCTTATGAAGAAACAACAGACCATTTTCTACTCTAATAAAGGAATTATTTTTCCAGCCTCACAAGTTCTCTGCATGTCAAAGGAATGTGTTTCTCAAGTTGCTTCTAGCGAAAAATTTCTGCATTGATTCCAAAGGGGAAAGGAGGGGACGTAGGTGGAAAACTGCTGCCACCAGATTTAAAGCAACCCAGGGCCCCGACTCCTTTTCTAAGCCTTTAGCTGAACCTGCTGCTGCTAAGAGCTTTCATCGATACAAGGGATTCAACTAAATGTTCCAAACCAAGTTTCTAAATTGCATCGTAGAAGTGCTTATACCAGCTTCAGAAGTCTCCAGAGTACCTTTTGCTGTGTGTGTATATATAGTATAAACAGCACAAAACTCACCACTGTAACTACTTTGTGTAGTGTTATGTTGACACTACAACATTCACACTGTTGTGCACAATCCTTTCTAGAATGTTCTTACTACCTCCTGAAACTCCATGCACACTGAACAACCGGCCACCTGACTCTAGCATTTGATAAATTGTTGTTTCGGGTCCTGTCTATTCCAGAACTCCACTCAAAAGTTTCAAACAATGTTTGTTTCCGTGTCTCACTTACTTCTCTCTGGTAGTAATCTGGAAACAAGCAGGGAACGAATTCCCGTTAGGTTTCTACAGTCTTCCCTTAGCTGCCCTGAGAAATTCTGCCACCGTGCTATGGGTCTCAAAGGCAGATCTCAGCCTGGTTCTTCCTAAGCCTGTAGACACGGTGGCCTGGTTAAACAGGCGCCGTTTCTCACAGTCCTGGAGGCCATCTGGAGTTCCTGGAAAGAGCAATCGACTGTGGAGAGCTGTGCAGACCACATGGAAGAGAGGTTCAGGATTCACTAGCTGCCTAGCCCCTGAGATGGGCCTTCGGTCTGAGGGCCAGGAGCTCCCCACACTTTGTTAGATTGGGTGACACCTGTCAGAACTGAAGCCAGACTGTGGTCGGGCCACTGAAAATGTCACCCGGGCGGGCGAGTTTCACGGGGTCATGAGTCACCTTCCATGGCTCAGAGGTCCAAGCAGGACCCGCCCTGCCTAAACAAACCCAGTTGGGAGGGAGAGAAACAAGAACATAACATTGGCAGAGACGGAAAAACACACAAATGGTCAAGAAGCCAGTGTGACATCCGGGCCCTGAACCCGAGCGGCAGAAGCAGGGTCAAGAAACACTGAAGCCAGCAAGGTGAAGACAGAGACTGTCAGCTCCAGGGACACAAAGTGGAGAGAAACTCCGCCTGACAAGAGGCCGGGCTGGGGAACACACACAGGTGACGACGGAGTGACAAAGAGGCGAAACTCGGAGCGGCGAGGTCCTCCCCGGCGGCGTCCGCTCGCGCGTGGGCGGCTCGCCCCTGAGGTCGCCCCGCGGGCGGATCCTCCGAGCGCTCCGTCCGCCGTGCACCTGCCGCGGGGTGACCTTGGACGGGAAGTCGCTGGGCTGGCCCCGGAGGCCTCAGGACTCCGAGCCGGGGCGCCCGGGGCGGCGGAGTCGCTCGCGCAGTCCCGCGTCGCGGCCGCCGGGGAGAGCCCGCGGGGAACACCGGCGTCCCGGACGCTCGTGATCCCGACCGTGACCTCCGGCGCGGCCGCCAGCCTCCCTACCCCGCCGTACCTGCCGACGGCTCCGCGCTCGCAGCTCCAGCCCACCGGAGCGTCCAAGCAGCCCGCACCAAGGCCTTATTCTCCGCCGCCACCGCGGGGACAGCTTCCGCCGGAGCCTCCCGCCCCCCGGAAACGCTTCCCGGTCCCGCCCCCGAAACTGCCAGTACTTCCGGAGGCGCATCAGCGACGCTGTGGTGTGCGCATGCTCTAGGAGAGCACGCTGAGGCGACCGGCGCCTGCGCAATGAGATCTAGCGCAGGTCACGTGTAGGGAGGCCGTCCCAGGTCTAGAAGAGTTACCTAATTTCGAGTTCGAAACTCTGGAGCTGCGAGCTGCGTGAGGGGGTAAAGGCGCTTGCCGCCTGGGTTCTATCCTTGGAACACACGGTGGAAGAACTGACTGGCAAGTGTCCGCCAACCTCCCAGGCACGCTGGCTGCAAGCATTGCCGCGCAGATGGAGAGGGATGCTGGCAGCCAGGAGCCCAGGAGCCCAGGAGCCCAGGAGCCCAGGACCAGCAGTCATTAGCAGCTTACATTACAGCAGCTTCCAGCCCTGCTCCAGGGAAAGGTTTCCCCGGTGTAACAGCTCTGCCGCCTGTTACCGTTCGGCTCAGGTCCGCCGGGGTGTAACAAACCAGAGAAAGTCCTGCTGAGCTCTGCTCCCGCTCCATTCCCACGAGAGGACGCTGCCACCCAAACCTTATTCCAGATATTAGGTGGAAGACTCGGGGAGGGTAGCTGTCTCTGCCATGGTGGAAAAAGGCAGCATGAACTGAACAGGCACAGAGCTTATGTAAGGCTTCTTAAGGGGAGGGTTTTTTCCAGGGTGGAGATTTTTAGGGTGGGAATTAGTCGGATTTCAATCCCTAAACTTGGACAAGCTCAGAGATTGGCTGGATTTTGTGCTCAGGGATCGGTTGGTTTTTGTACTGAGTTGGTCAGGGGCAGAGTGTGTTTCTTTGGCTCTGGTTTCAGTGCCAAAGTGTGTTTCATTTACTGGCCCTTTTTAACATTTTGGCTCTGGTTTCAGGGCCAGGGTGTATATCTTTGGCTAGCCCTTTTACCCTACAATGGCAAGTGAGAGCTCACCCCTACCAAAAAAAAGTGTAATAAAATTCAGGCTGGCTTTGAACTCACTATAGCTCGAGTTGGCCTCATATTCACTCCTGCCTGCACCTCCTGAGTATGGAGATTGCAAGGATGTGTCCTCACAGCTGGTGTAGGGTGCAGACTCCTGCTGGACCAGATGTTACTGTCTGTGTCTTAGATGCGAACTTCCAGTTTCCCAGCTGTACGCCTACTTCTTGGGCTCTGGAAACTAAGAGTATTCAGAAAGGAGGCTGGGGCTTTCCAAGAGAATTATACAGAGAAATTTTGGGGAGGGCTGGGGAGATGGCTCAGCGGTTAAGAGCACTGGCTGCTCTTCCTGAGGACCTGGGTTCAATTCCCAGCACCCACGGTGGCTCACAGGCTCAGTAACTTCAGTTCCAGGGTTTCTGTCGCCCTCTTCTGGCATGCACTGGCACCAGGCAGGCAAATAGTACACAGACATGTATGCAGGCAAAACACTAATACAAACAAAACAATTTTAAAAAGAAATCCTGAGAAACAAAACCAAAGAAAACAAATACTGAAGCACAGAACTGGGAACAGGTGCAGAACATCTTGCTGGGGGGTGGGGGGGAGAGGGAATGGCTGAGTGAGTAAAACGTTTGCCAAGCATTGCAAGCCTGCAGAGCAGGGTTCGGTCCCCAGAAACACGCAAGAAGAGTAGATGTGGTGGCGGGATTACCGTCCCAGTGCTGTGGAGGAAGGGATCGGTGAGAGGAAGGGAACAGTGAGAAAATTTACCTAAAAAAGGGGTGGATGGTGGGCAGGCAGTGTGGTACATGCCTTTAGTCCCAGCCCTTGGGAGGCAGGTGAATCTCTGTGAGTTCCAGGCCAGCCTGGTCTACAGCAATAGTTTCAGAACAGTCAGGGCTACACAGAGAAACCCTGTGTGTCAGAAAAACTAAGAGGTTGAAAAAAAAAAAAAAAAAAAAGGAATGGATGCCATTTCTGAGAATGACACTCAGGTTGTCCTTTGACCTCCGACCTCCATAACCACCCATACGTCTGTATGCCCACACATACATGAACACTCACACAAAGACACATGCATACAAAAAAATTGGGGCTGGAGAGATGACTCAGGATAAGCTTATTTACAAAACCAACTTGGATTGTGTAGGTAGTTCTGGGTCAGCTTGAACTACACAGTGAGACCTTGTTTCAAAAAGCAAAACAAAATAAAACTGCAACACATCTAACAGTCAAGCAGTCAGGAATCGGGACAGTCACTCGGTGTCATATAAAAACCAGACTCCTTACTTTGCCTGCCTTGGTCCTTGTCATTTTGTATGTGTTTAATGATGCCTGAACTTCCCAGCTTGAGGTGTGCTTGGAGCCAGGAAGAAAATTAAAGTGGCGAATCACTTGAGGAGTCTATCCAATTAGACACTAAAAAATACTTTCCCTGGATTCTCCTGCAGTGACCTCTGTGTTTTTTCACTTCTATTTACCTCTGTTTACTTGTGGCAAGAAGTTGGTCACATGTCTGTGCCCGATGCAGTACCACCAGCTAATCATGAGATGACCAAGGAGGTTTGGGTCAAGTCTGAGTCATCTCTTCCAGAAGAGGACAGTCTACCTTCACCAAGTTCAAGAAACCACACCTGCTACCTAAACAAAGTATTTGTTTGACCTAATATTCCCTGTGGGAATTCTTGGAGGCGCTGGAACACTTATCCTTGAACCTGATTAAAAAGGTGTTTTTTGTTTAACATTACTTAATTTATTGCATGTGTATGAATGCATGTGTCATGGTGTGGGGGTGGAGGTCAGAGGACAACTTAATGAGAGCTGATTCTCTCCTTCTGCTATGTGGGTCCCAGGGACTGAATTCAGGTCATCAGGTTTGGTGGCTTTACCTAAGTCATCTCACTGGCCCCAGAGTAGTTTATTAAAGATATTTAAAAGACAGACTCTGAAAGAGACAGAGAGGCACTTAGGAAGGAAATAAGACACACAAGAGCACGGGTATTCTCACTTTATTGTCTCACAATAATCATGTGTGAGATTTTGGTGAATTTTAAAGTTGTTACCCTCAAAGAATTGATTCCCAAAGTATACCTGACATTATTAAAATTGTGTGTAGGTGCCTGTGGTTGCCAGAAGAGGGCATTTGGATCACCCTAGAGCTGGAGTTCCAGGCAGTTTTGAGTCTGTAACTCCAACATTTGGTGCTGGGAACTGTAGTGGGTGGGTGTTTGTGCCGCCCCTAGCGAGGCAGCAGGGAGCTGCTGGGTACCTGCCCCTGGGCGGGTCCACCAGGGACCCTTAAACATGGGGTGCTCTCCCTTCTCTTCCTACCTCGTGGTCTTGGATGCTGGTGCGGATCAAGGCAGAGCTCTCCTGAGAACTGCGTTGGACCGTGCCCCACTGCTCCAGGATTCTGTAACTAACTCCTTTGTTCGGCTTGTGAGTTAACACCCAAATAAATTCCTTTGACCATCAAATAGACTCCGTGGATTAATCCCATTAGGAAACTGACCCTGGGTCCTCTGAAAGGTCAAGAAACTCTTTTAACCACCGAGCTGTGTCTCCATCCCCTTAAGTTAGTGTTTGTTTGTTTGTTTGTTTTTCTGAGACAGGGATTCTCTGTGTAGCCCTGGCTGTCCTGGAACTTGCCCTGTAGACCTGGCTGGCCTCGAACTCAAAGATCTGCCTGCCTCTGCCTCCCAAGTGCTGGGATTAAAGGGATGCGCCACCACCGCCCAGCAAGTTAGTTTCATTTTTAAAGGCCATTTAAGCTGACAGATTCCTCTATCCACCCAGTATGTCTAATATTTGCTTGTAGCCAAATGTATTTCCAATTGATAAACCTTTCCAAACATCAGTATTAAAGAATGTGATTTAAGCCGGGTGGGGCTTGGTGGAACCTGGAGAGAAGCCCTCCAGCAACACACCACTAGCTGAGTTACAACCATATATATGCACATATATATGATATCATATATATATGTCATATATCATATATGTGGTTGTAACCCAGCTAGTTATATATGTATATGAATACACACACATATATATTTACACACACACATGCACACATATCTTGAGCTGTGTCCATCCGAGCCCAGCTTCTCTCTGCAGGTGAGACAGGTCTGCTCCAGATGAACTCATTCAGGCAGACCCAGGCTAATGGGACAGCGACTGCCTAGGAGCGGCTCCCCTCGTGACCAGTCAGAGGGTCCAGCACTTTAAGCTTTCACTTGAGTTTCCTTTGCTAATATTTTAGTGTCCAATTCAAGCCAAGATAAGTCTAAAGTCAAAGGGTGGGGATTCTACTTTTGTTGTTTTGTTTTTCAAGACAGGGTTTCTCTGTGTAGCTCTGGCTTTCCAGGAACTCTCTCCGTAGTCCAAGCTGACATCGAACTCACGGAGCTCCACCTGCCTCTGCCTCCTGAGTGCTGAGATTAAAGGTGTTCACCACTAATG